AGATCAGGAGCCCTGGTGGCACAGTGGTTAAGTGTTTGGCTGCTAACCAAAAGGTCGGCAGTTCAAATCCACGAGCCACTCCTTGGAAACCCTACGGGGCAGTTCTACTCTGTCCTATAGGGTCACTATGAGTCGAAATTGACTTGAGGCAATGCGTTTTTTTTAAAGATCAGGACCCTAAAAAAGTGGACTCCAAGACACATGAATTTTTAGGGATAGATGAGGAAAAGGTCTAAAGAAAGATCGTGGCACGGAAATACAAACATTGGCAGAATCCAGAGGACAAAAGGTGGTGTGGGCGTATATTAGTAGGGGCATGGGCACTAGGAAGGCTGAGTAAAGATATATATTCCACCCACATGAGACTGGTGTCTTAGCTCAGTCAGATGCATGCCATTTGGGTTTCTGATTGAAATTTCAAAAGGCCTTTGGTAGCTAGGTTAAACAAACATGAATTAAAGAAAAGAGTGAAAGACACAGAAAGACATTTATTGGCACATCTGGCTGGCTAGATTCACAGTCACAGCCACTAGCAAAATAACAGCCATTTCACATAAAACAAATGCCTAGTCTGTCCCCTTCAGCAGGACTGCTGTGACTGAAATGATTGTTGATAACAGAATTGTTGAATCAAGAGAACTATTCTACCCAATGAGTTCAGGTTTGAAAACCTGGAGGCAAGGGCAAATGTCCTACTGCTGTTATTTCAGGAAACCAGCAACCCACAGACAGGCAAAAGAAGCAGGTTACCTTAGCTCTCTGATTCTGGAACCACACCTGAACGACACGGACGCTCAGCCCTGTTTCTGCAGCCAGGGTCTCTCTCACCTTGGAAAAATGGAACATTAGAAATAGAGAAACATTAGGATCCCAAAGAAAGAGGCTTGGAACATTTCCTACCTAGCGCAAGAGGAGGCCAACAGGCCACATTTTACAGAGGAACTGGCATAAACCAAAACATAAGAACCTCACTGCCCTTCAGGTGGAGACAGGGTCCTTCACCCAGTCAACAAAGAAAAAATCACTCATTCGGATGTGTGTCCCCAGGAGGTGTTTCTGAGTTTCTCTTATGCTAGAAATCAGACCTTAAGTCATGATGTTAAGTCATTAGCATAGTCTGTTGTTGTACCTTTGCTATAACCTGTGCGTATGCATTAACATACTTAAGAAAAGCATGGTAAAATTCACTTTGCGAAACCAAATGGCCCTCTCTTGATCTCCTCTCTTGTCTAATTTTTTGTTTTGTCCATCATAGCTTTAAGTGACTTTGAGCGTTTAATGAATAGTCATATTCCCTGTTATTGTAAGGGAGCCCTGCCCAGAGAGGAAAGTGGGAGCCACCTGGAATCCGACAGAGCAAGGCAGGCAGCTCTGATGCAGGCAAAAGCACCAGGCCGTGCGGAGACAGGCTTATCAGGATCCAGATAATAAAGCTGTCATTGTTAGTTGCTGCCTAGTTGATTCCAACTCATGGCAACCCCATGTGTACAGAGGAGAACTGCTCCATGGGGTTTTCAAGGCTGTGACCTTCTGGAAGCAGATTGCCAGGCCTGTCTTCTGAGGTGCCCCTGGATGAGTTCAAACAGCCAACTTTTCGGCTAATAGTTGAGCACTCAACCGTTGGCACCATCCAGAAAATAGAGAATAAAGAGATGTGTTTTAAAATCTGCCCTCCAGACAGGCAGGTGGTGACGTGGCTGGCAAGGTGGCGAGAAGAAAAGAGGCAAGAAGCACAGGCTTCCCAAGAAGGGGCCTGAGAGACACTGCCACCTTTTGGCTGGATTCTGGGGAGGAGCTGGGATTGAAGGAGCCACCTGAATAAATTTGTGATTAGAGCAAACCTGAAGTCTTGGGAAGTGCTTCTCCTTGATCGTGCCACCTGGGCTGAGGCTTAGGAGAAGTAGAATGATTAGACTCAATTTTTAAAGCACATCCATCTTCTAAGCCAACGAAAACAGCAGTCTGCACAGAGGTCCAACTCCACCTGTTGAAACCCTACCCATCCCTCAGAGGCCCAGCGCAAAAGCAAAAGCCACCTGTTCCACAAAGCCTCGCCTGATTCCCCCCACAGAAGTGACCTTTCCCTTCCCTCGGCTTCCACGGTTCCTGGCTGGCCCCTCTATTACGGTCCTTGGCTCTTTCTCCCAGTGTTCCAGCTACGGGTGCACATATCTCCTTCATGCTGGTGGCCTGGAAACTGCCCCGGTGCAAGCACCAGGCACAGGGCAGACCCAGGCTGGGAGTTCAGTACACGTAGCATTAAGTAAATAAGTGCAAGACTACTCTGAGGGTATTTCACTTTCTCCTGGAGCCCCTGCGTGGTGCAAATAGTTAACACATTCAGCTGCTAACTGAAAGGTTGGAGATTCAAGTCCACTCAGAAGCACCTTGGTAGAAAGGTCTGGAGATCTACTTCCAAAATATCAGCCACTGAAAACCCTACAGAGCACAGTTCTATTCTGACACACATGGGGTCACCATGAATCTGAATCAACTCGATGGCAACTGGTTTCACTTTCTCCTACTATCTCCTTGGAACCTAAAAGCAGCAAGGACAGGGAAAGTAAGAGCCCTGTAGTTGAATCTTTATGAAGGTCAGATGTTGTGGTGGACTATATTACTGCTCAGCAACCATCCACCCTCCCTCCTCTGCTCCATGGGAGCCATGCACTTCTCCACTGCACTCATGCTGGGCTTGGCCACATGAGGTACTTGGACCAGTGGAATGTGAGAAGGATATGATGTATGTGACATCCAGGCAGAGGCTTTTAATGGGCTTTCCCAGTTTGACCTGGCCTCCTGCCCTCTGCCACCCTCAGAAGAATGGCATGCCCCTGGTGGGGCTCCTTCAAGATGATCCTTGAATGAGAGACCTGTGGAGCAGACCTGAATCTGAGCCCAGCTAAGCCAGAGCCCACCCACAGCCTGGGAGCAAGAAATAGATGTTTGCTGTGAGCCACTAAGATTTTGCTTTGTTTGTTATCGCAGCAAAAGCTGACTAATACAAATAGGGATGAAGGAAAAAAGTGCTAACATTTTTAAATAATTTATTTCTTCTATGAATTTCTATAAAGAATGCTTTATTTTCTTTCCTTTTATTGTATAGAAGGCAGTACCCAGCATATGGCAGGCAGTCAATAAATGGCAGGTACTCGTGGCATGATGGTTAACTGCTTAGCTGCTAACTGAAAGGCTGGTGGTTGGAACCTACCAAGTGGCTCTTCAGGAGAAAGACCTGGCAATCTGCTTCCATAAAGATCACAGCCTAGAAAACCCTACGGGGCAGTTCTACTCTGTCACACGGGGTTGCTATGAGTCGAAAATCGACTCAACAGAACCCAACAGCAACACCCAATAAATAGACACAGCTTGTTGTGGTAGAGACTGCTAATTGTCCCTAAGATACAGGCTTTCCTTCTTCCTACTAGCAATTGAATCCCCACGTTTTAGCCAGGCAGACAGTCACCCACTGGCCCTGGGAAGAGACTCACTTCCCAGCCTCCCTTGCAGGACGTGTGGCCATGTGACTAGATCTTGGCCAGTGGCTATAAGTGAAGGTGATGCAAGCAACTTCTGGGTCAGCTTGCCCTCTACCTCCTTTTTCTCTACCCTGGTGGCTGGAAAAATAATGACAACCAGAGCAGCCCCTTGAACCTGAGTGATGGGTAAGAGAGCTACTCCACCAGTCTCAGACTGCTCACCTCTGAACTAGACATGAGAGAAATAAACTCTTACCTCATTAAGCCACTGTGTTTTTAGACTGTTACAGCATCTTGGTCTATACCCCACTGGTACCTATCATTATTATTACTCTCACTGCTTTCCATGAAACGAAAGAAGTGAGCAAAGGCCCAGTTGGAGTGGTAAGCATGCATGAAAGCATAGGGGGATTCTACTACATCCCTGGCCCAGCCTCAGTGCTTTCTGGTGTCTCCAGCGAGACTCAGGGCCCCATGCACGGGCTTGGTCTAACAGCCTCCCTACTGCCCTGACCCCCAGGGGCCCATCTACACCCCAGGGGCACCCATGGTGCATGCACAGATATAGGGCCAGTTCCCTTTCCACCCCTCCCTCCTCCTGTACCTTCCGGCATGGCTTGGAGGACACTTCAAATGAGGCCTTGAATGCTCTCCTCTGTTGGGTTGTCAAGATGGTTCTGGGACGTTTGGGGCGCTTGTGGTCCTTACCATCCTCAGCAGCTCCTTTCCCTGCTCCATGGGTTGACTTGCAAAGACTTTCTTCATCATCACTTTTGCCTAAAAGCAGCAGAAAACAATGTGCTGAGTCCCTGATAGCCACTTTCTGGAGCTGTATGATATTCCATAACCAGGCACTTGGGTCCACATTCCCAGCAAGGCTTTACATATGAGTGTAATAACCTATGTGGTAGGATTTGAAACCGCAAGATGGAGGCTAAGGAAAGTACTTCTAAAAGCCAGAGGCTTGTACCAGAGTCCACCATCACACTCGGGACTTTATCACCAAATGGTACGCTGGCTCCACATTTACTTGTTGTCTTAATGGTGGGAAAATTACTTACCTCCCTGTGACTCAAAATCAGGATATGACAGAACCTAATTCACTGGGGTTGTTGTCAGGATTAAATGAGTTAATACCAATAAGGCACTAAGAATGCTGCTTGGCACATAATGCTCAATAAATGTTGGCATTGGTATTATTCCAGAGGTGTCTTTTTTCAAGACTAGATCTAGAAATAATGAATATCACCTGTAACTACTGTGCTCCTTTGAAAATCACCTATATGAGACCAAAGGGTCAACATTACTTTAAAACAAAGATCAGGGCAGGGAAACTAGATGAATGGAAATGGAATAACCGGAACGAAAATAATGAGAATGTTCACACATTGCGAAGACTGTAACCAATGTCACTGAACAACTGGTGCAGAAATTGTTGAATGGAACCTAAACTGCTATGTAAATCGTCAACAAAAACACAATAAAATTTTTTTTTTTAAAGAAAAGACTAGACCTAGAGAAGCTACGTATAATGTCCTAGACGCTAAGTCTGAAACTAGCCACTTGCAGAATGTAGAAACTATTACTGTTAAAAGGCCACAAAAGAACAGCGTTAGATTACCTGCAGGTAGAGATAACTGGGAATGGTCAGGTAACAAGAATAATTCATCAAAATTGCTTGTCTATAAAATAATAAATATCCATTAAAGTAAATAGAAATATGTGACTTACTTCAACTCTAGAAACAGTGAGCAATACGGGGTGGGGGGTAACTTTTAAAATAAATAAAGCTCTGCAGTATACATCATATTCTTTTCTAGGCTACCTCTTCCGTTGCACAGACTTTATGCCCCAGAGATGCTTCTGGGGTCTGGGAAATACCTGTGTGAGAGAGACTTCTCACATTGAGCATTAAAAGCCTTAGACAGCTCTGTGCCCAAATTACCTGAACAAGAACCATATGGATTTCTGGGTCCTCCCAAAGGTGGGCCATCCTATTTCCTCCAGTGGGAAACCCTTGCCCCTAAGGGCTTCCCCCAGGCCAGCCCTCCTAATTCCAGTCCCCTTCTGGCCAACTTCAAGAACACCAAGCTGAGGGCACACACTGTGTGTGTCAGGCATCTTTGTTCTTCACTCCACCCTCCTCCGTAAAGGTCGTGCATTTGCATAGGCTGTTTTAGTTTAGACTTTCATTGAGTTCTAATTTATGGGGGGTATTCACCCTGGCCCTCCGCCAGAGCCACAAAAATTTATTTTATCTGAAAGAATAATGCCTTCTTTTCTCTACGAACATTAAAAATACATTTGAACATGAAGGAGCACAATGAGTTCCATGAGGGCATGACCCGTGATGTCACTGGAAAGGGACTGGATGTTGGCAGACCTAGGTTTCCATCCCAGTTCTCCCCCTTGTTACAAGTACAGCCCTATGCAAGATATGTCATCTCACTGAGCCTCAGGTTCCTCATCTGAATACTGGAGACAGTAACACCCACCCAGCAAGTGGGACTAGACCATAGAAGTAATGAAGCTACGTGTGAAACAGCTAACATAGTCCTGGCTCACAGGAGGTTCTCGATACATGCTGTGAACAGGATGTCTTTTCTCTCTTCTCCATCTCCCTCAATAATGTAGTTTTTAAAACCCAAAAGATTAAAAAAGAAGAGAGTTAAAGCAAGAATGCTCGTGACAAGAGGTGGCCACTCTGGCACCTTCAACCCTGAGGCTGCTCATTTTCAGTGGCAATACAGCAGGCTCATCTTGGTCGTACCTAGGTGTGAAGAGGTTTGGGGAAATTTCTAGAAGGAGACTTTCAAAATGGGGAGGGAAAAAATAAGCTCTTAAGAACTAAAAGCCCCAGGGAAATAAGAAGACCCCACAAGAGGATAAAAGATAGGAACAACAACAACAAAAAAAAAGCCATGGACTGCATAGATGCGCCATTGCTTGCCCCTACTCATCCCACTGCTTGGAGATGTCCCAGAGCCTAGGCTTCAGCGAGGCCAGTAACTCTCTCTGAGGGCGGACTCTTCAGAGTCAAAAGGATGCTCCTTTGACACCAGTGATCCCTTTAGTAATATTTCTGAGGAGGTGGGGCTGACATCCAAACTCCAGTGTTGTGCAGATCTCCTGCCAGGCAGGTGACTAAAAGTGGCTGAGTCTGGAAGAAATGAGTGAGAAATCCAAATTCTAGAATATATATATTTTAAATTCAATTATTTTATCTTCAAGAACTTCCTGCCTATACCAGGTTTGTCAATAAAATGGCATTTGCAAATACTTTATGGAGTCAGTCTGATTCTTTTACAGTCATTCCTTACATAATTTGATGCAAATCTGCACTGATAAGTAGAATAAAGTAACTAATGAAAACGTGAAGTCTAAAATAATGCTAGATTTCACGATAATGTCTCATATATGTTGATGTCCTTCAGGAAAACAATCTAGCATGATGTCTACAAGCACGGGCTTTGGAGCCATATAAACTTAGGTTTAAATTCTGGTTCTGCCAGCTACTATGTGTGATTTTGAACAAATTCTTCAAGACTCATTTTTCTCTTTGAAGAAAGTAATAATGTTGTTGGAATTAAAGCGCCTGGTGGATCTGAACTGCCGACCTTCTAGTTAGCAGCTGTAGCTCTTAACCACTATGCCACCAGAGTTATAGACATATATATAAAACGCTTCACTGGTTTTGCTTCTCTAGAGAACCCAGCCTAAGACACCTAGGAGACACAGGAGCACGCATATTTCTGAAGAGCTGCACTTCCATCATGAAGCAACAGAGAGGAGGGCAGAAAAGAACCATCTCCCAGGCCAGCCCCTATGACAAGTTTTAGAGTATGTTGAGAGCATCATTGATGGCTGCTCATTCACACCTGGTGAGAAGAGTCAGCGGAAAATATGCTTGTTTTCCAGCAAAAAGAAAGGAGCAGAAGAAGAAAAAGAGAAAGAAGGAGAGGGAGGGAGAGGAAGAGGAAACAGAGGAATGTAGCAGTAATTTGTCTCTGGAATGTTTCTATTGTTTTTGTGGTACATTTTCTCCCTCTGATGTCCAGTATCTCACTTTCTCTTCTGTTCCTTGGGTTCCCCTTTTACTTCCAGGCAGCACCTCATGCTCTGGACCAGGGGTCTACAAATTTTCTCTACTAAAGGCCAGAAAGTAAATATTTTAGTTTTTGCAAGCCACACAATCTCTAGCCCAAGTATTCAACTTTGCCACTGTAGAACTCTGTCCTGTAGGGTTGCTATGAGTGCGAATTGACTTGACAGCAATGGGTATTGTAGAACCACAGCAGCCACAGACAATATGAACGAGTGTGGCTATATTCCAAAGATGTGGTGAAATCCACGTGAGATAGTTCACTACAGATTAGTAAGTAAACACAACTAAGCCTGTGTGTAACTTCCTTACTGTAAGCCCGTGCATTGCTTACTGGTTAATCCACCCCTGGTTCCAATAAAACTGTGTTAACAAAAACAGGCAACAGTCCAGATTTGGCTTGTGGGCCATAGATTGCTGACCCCTGCTCTAAACCTCTCCTAACCTCCTGTTTTCCGTCAAAACTTACAGGTCCTGCGTTCTATGGTTTCAGGCTCTGACTCTGGAGGCAGGAAGCACTGATGGAACCCGAGACACCATGGAATCAATGGTTGGCCATGGTTTGATGTGTTCTCCTCCACAGTCAATAACATGTACACTTACCAAGAAATGCTTCCCACTAAACCATTACCAGTGTGGGGATCTCAGGTATCCTGGAAGATCTGGAGATTCTGGAGATGGAGGGCTGGAGGGGCCTTTTGACACAGTGCAGATGGATGCCACAGCCCAGCTGCCAACTGGACAGTGGACGATAACTAACCATCACTCAGCTTCTATCTGTTGTTAGCTGCCATCAAGCCATCCCCTGACTCACTGGGACCCCATGCGCAACAGAACAAAATGCTGCATGGTCCTTCTGCACCATCCCTATGATCAGCTGCAGATCAGACCACTGCGATCCATAGGGATTTTACTGGCTGATTTCAGGACACAGATCGCCAGGCCTTTCTTCCTACTCCATCTTAGTCTGGAAGCTCTGCTGAATCTGTTCAGTATCATAGCAACATGCAAGCCTCCACTGACAGACAGGTGGTAGTTGCACCCAGGAATTGGTGGAGCATTGGCCGGGAATCAGACTTGAGTCTCCCACTTGGAAGGCAGGAATTCTAGCAGTGAACCACCACTGCCTTCAGCTTCTATCTACCATGTTGTAAGTACCATGGGATAACAGTGCCCTGTGAGTCTCTTAGGGAATTCCCAGGCTGCTCCCTTGATGTGCACAAAGGCTCCGTCTTCCCTTTCAGCATAACAAGCGTGCCTTGACTCTGATCCCAACTTCTCCATGAAAACATGCACTGCCTCAAACATACTTATTGATTTGTCCAAGAGAAAGCAAAGTTCTAAAGGAGTTAGGAGATTTTTCCCAGAACCAGCAGGAGTAGTGGAGAGCAGAAGATGAAGAAAGAAAAACCTTAAAACAGCAGAAAAGTGGGAGTCGAGGGGGGAGGCAGCCCCAGTCCGTTGCCAGAGGCTCCCACGCCCAGATGCAGGACAGAGCTATTCCTCATAATTTAAGCTGACACCCCTCTGCAGAGATGAAAGGAACACAAGTTGCTGCTCTCCAACTACAAATGTCAGCATCCCTGGAGGCCATTTAGACACAAACACAGCATAAATCTGACTCCTGGTGGGGAAGTCCAGAGATTAAGTCTCCACACAGCCTACCAGAGTGAAA